ATCCATGCTGGATCCAGGTTCAGCTGAACTGGGAGGTGGTGCCTCTTTCTCCTCGCCCCATACCTCTAAGACGGAGGTAGCACTTGAGCTGATGTGCGCACGGACCTTAGGTGTATCGCTGATGTATGACAGGACAGAGACGTCGCTAGGAGAGCTGTAGGCTGCCGGGTCCTCACGGATGATGGCGTCGCTGGCGCCGCTGTTTTGTCTCATGCACCCAGGTCCACTGTGAGTGGCACATGAAAGTGAGACTTCAGATGGAGAACCAGACACATCTACTTTGACGGGACCTGGTGTTTCATTAGATACAGCAGCCGGCAATGTGTCATCTTCCTCAGGGGTGTAAGGTGACACAAAGATCACGGTTAATTTCTGTGGTTTCTCAGGAGTGTCTTGAAGTGAGCAGCTGTATTTGCTCTCTGTGCAGGCTCCTGAGGTGGTCTGGTGAACGGCTGGCACCTGTACCTCCACCATTTGCTTCATGTCTTCCTGCCCAATGAATGTGGGCAGTGACATATCTGAGGTACCGTGAAAAGCTGTAGTTATCTCGCTCATCCCGTCAGCCATAAAAGTGTCCTCTAGTCCAATGTAAGATCCAGCGTCATCTGCATTGGTCTCTTTAAAGGACACAGACACGGTGACTACTTCATCGGGACTGCCATTTGATCCACAGGAAACTTCTTCCTCGGTCTCTCTGGGCAGATTTGCGCTCGCTACAGTCTCGCTGGTGGTGTCTATGGTTTGTGTAGGGAACGCATTTCCCGGTGTTTCAGGTGTTCTAGAGGGAGGCGGTGGAGGGATAGCCTCACCTTCTGGGGTCTCACTTTGCTGGGTCCTAGGTTCTGGGGATGGTACTAGACCTGGGACGACTTCTGGCAAAGGATCAACTACAGGTTTTCTATAAAAGTAAATAAAACAACTTTCAAAAAAATCAAAAATCAAAAATGTAGCAATTCTTATTGAGGATATTGTAACTCTTTATTATTATCCAGATAGTGAAAATGAAGTTTTTTCTGCATCTAATTATTCAATAAGGTATCTATTTCTGTGCTGATTTAAAACAGTAAAAACCCTCGAAAATATAAAATGTCGGCATTTATATTTCTCGTTACAATATACATGTATAAGTATAGGCAGCTCAAAGTTTAACTCATCAATTTAACACCTTTCTATTTTGAGGTAAGATAGTAATCGGTATGGGGCGTAACTTCATCCCTGAACAAAATTTTATCATTAAAATTGTCAGAGTTTACCGGGAGTGTATAGGCTACAATCCCTTGCCGTCATTTTGGTTTAAATGTTTTTGTTATGGTGTTATGAGGGCCAAATTACAGATTTTCATTAAACAAAGACATTATTTTGCTTTATCAACGATTAAAATCTGAACGAAAACTTCTAAGAAAAATCGCTGGCAGGGTTTTAGAGTACTAAATGGTGTCATTAAATCGGCGTTAAAACGGTGATCCTGGGTGCTCAGATTATAGAGAAATTTGAGAAACTGATTTTTCAATTTTTTACCCCAAAATCGAAATTATGACGTTGCCCGTAAGATGCCATATGTGTTAATGTTAACTAATTTAGTCACTGAATACTGAATATTTATCTATTTCCCAAAAGAATGTACGTAAGGCAGTAAATAAGGAGTTTTGGGCGAAAGTAGACAATATCATTAAGCCTCGAAATGTTCATACCAGTTGTACATAGGAAATAACTGATACTTTTCTTTGTATTTCTGCGCTCTTTTTAAAAGATGTATTTGACAACGTTAAGATCATTTGATCTTCGATAAAAACATATATATATATATATATGACAGAGCAAAAAGAATTAGCCTGGCATGCAGGTTAGGTTTAGTCCCTCACGGCCGTGTTTTTTCATGTCACTTTCTTTCTTGAAAAAATAAAAACTTTTTTTCAAACACTAATTATATATAAAAAGGAAAGAGCAAAAAGAAAGGTATAGGAAAAATTCGCAAATGTGTACATACGTGGTTGATGTCTTGGTTAAAATCTTATCGGCTTAATTTGTACAGAAGGACCTCTTGTTTGAATGAAATAACACCAAGTTGCTATAAGCAAGCTAATTTACACCATTTACACCTTTTCTAAATTTATGATCCGCATTTGTAACTTTTTTACTTAGATGAATTCGAGAAATCCAACACATCCATTGTATGCAAGTTCTCTAGCGCATGTTTTTCCGAACTATGAGAGGAGCAGGCGAATGTGGAATATCGAAGAAGATTTTGCCCGACCTTAATTTTCTTTCAACTAAATGGGCCTAAATAATCATTGAATATTGATGTTTGATATACTTTGTAATATTTATCTAATGCACGCCCTTTCATTACTTTCAGGCACTGAGAGTGATGAAGCAACGCAATATATGGAGATATGGAGTCTATAGTTAGCGCGAAGGAAAGCAATACTTACTGTGTCAGTTTTTCATTGTTCTCGGTTACGGAGACTGGTTTCCTGAGTTCTGTAACTTGGGTCGAACCCGAAGAACAACAACTGACTCTTCTCCAGGCTCTTCTTAGCCAGGAAGGCATATTTTCGGCATTATTATTCGCAACATTTTGAATACGCGCATATCTACATTTCGACAGTGCGGTTTCTATGATAGCAATGACATCACAACGAATCGTCACGTGGTTTTCCGCACTAGAGGAAATGACGTCACAATCAAAAGTGAAGTAGCTCAGAACATAGAAGTAGAGCTACTCCCGTTCACATTCTTGTTATTTTTCATTGTTCTGAGCATATGTAATTTCAATCATTCGAAAGACTCAAGGGCGGTAGTTGTGATATCGCATTTAAATATGTTAGAATATTTTACAAAGTACATTATATTTAGACGTCATCTGTTTGAAACTATTGAAACTACCAAGATTGCTTATAAAATGTGTAGACAGTTATTACCCTAAAAAAAAAATAATAATAACATTGTGGAAAAAGGCTTGTTCGTATAATGGAGGAGAAGTCATATTTATGTTTTTATTTTATTTTTGTTTTTATTTTATATATTATTCATATATACTAGCCCAAAAAAGCTTTGTTATGTCCATGTTTTTATGGAGAGTGCTACCTAGGGAGCGCAAGTCTTTTACTTTCACGCCAGTGGGAACGGAATGCAGGTCCGCCTGGAACCGAGGTCCTACGGACCACCGTTACTACTCGGTTCCTAGTAACGGTGGTCCGTAGGACGTAGGTCCGTAGGATCACCGTTCCTTAGGATTAGTAGTCCTAATGGGACCTGTATTCCTGTCATAAATATGAATAAGACTTCTATTCCTGGCGGACCTGCATTCCGTTTACATTAGTCAGCGATATGAAGGTCCGCCCTATTTTTATGTCCGTCCCTTTATATTACTACTATACAGTGACATGAATAGTAAGCTGTAGTGAGCATATATAATTACTCCGTAAAATTGCCAACTTGTTTGTTTGTCTCTCTGGCGTAGTGGTTAGGCAGTGCAACCATGGGAATCCAGAACAGTAGCTTAAAGTAATCTGATGGAAGTTCGAATCCATGTAAAACTAAAGTTTCGTTTCTTTTGTGTGATTTTTATGTATTTGTCATGTTTGCTAGTCATTTTACTTTGCCACGTCGGATAATTTTGATTGGTTACAGATGTCACGCGCTTTCTTGCACTCCTATAAATACGTTCATATTCTGCTCCCCCGCACTGATACTCCCGCGTACCGATACTCTGCAAAAACACTACTCCCCCAAGGCATAGATTCCCTTGGCTTTGTAAACCCCATTCGTAATTTACAACACTTTCTATAATGCTTTTTTTTTTAAAGATGCATCACCCTCTTGGGACACAGAATTGACTAATTTTATTCGAAATATATTGGGAAAAATAAAGAACGTTACACGAAGTCAATCTCAGACTTTGTGTGCAGCTTGACAGTACGTAGGTCTACAGCTCTTCCTTGTGATTTTTGAGAAATGTTTTTGTATATATATTGTACGGCCTTTTATTTATTTATTTATTTATTTATTTATTTATTTATTAACTTAAGGCAAAGTTAGTTTTAATCTAAGATAACGCAGCTATGTCTTTTTTTCAGGCAACGATGAATTCGTAAAATTATTAAGTAATAAAAAAGAAGTGCTAAAGCGCTTCTTTTTCCGTCTTTTTCCTCCAACCTTCTTTTCTGCTCTTTAAGCTTCTTTCCCTTGTCTTTTGAATCTGAATTAGATTAGAATCTGAATTGAGCAAAATTCAAAAATTTTGAAAATTGTTGCACAACGAAATTGTCGAGACACGAGCATGCGTCGTGAGCGCGCCTTTTATACTCGCAGTCCCGTCTTGTTTTCGATTTTGTTCGTTATAGATGTGAGGGCGTGCGCCGTACTCAACACGCAAAGGGCTCTTTCTCCTTCATTTCTTGCGGCGTCTTGCAAACCAATCGCAAACTCCTTAGAAAAGGAGCAAATTACGCTTGCGGCCTCGCTGTCCGCAGATTATTCGTAGAATCTATTGGAAATGTTCAATATCTTCCGTACGTGCTTACATACGTGCGAACTCGAAATTTCGCATAAAGGACTTGCGTAGTACATGAGATTCTCCGCAAAATTTGGACTTAAACGGGTCGTAGATTTTGATCCACTTACCTAGACTGATCCTAACCTGTATAATTAAATGGAGGGTTGACTCTGTTACTCCATCCTCAGTTTCGTCAAAATTGCATAGGGGGAGTATCGGTGCGGGGGAGTAACGGTGCGGGGGAGTAACGGTGCGCGTATAACGGCAATTTTACAGGGGGTTTGTCGATGCGGGGATCTATCGGTGTGGGGTCGTATCGATGTGCATAATGCAAAAAATTACTAAGGGGGAGTATCGGTGCGGGGGAGTAACGGTGCGGGGGAGTATCGGTGCGGGGGAGTAACGGTGCGGGGGAGTATCGGCATGACCCCAATGTCACTACTGAAATATTGTTTGATGATTTTCAGGGGGATCCAAGGTTGTGAATGACGGGAAATGGCACATGGCCGCCTGGCAGTTCACTGCATCCAGCAACTCGTGAGTTGAGGCCTCTCTGTCATCTTCAAAATGCCTCGATCATGCACTAATATAAAGTGATAACTGAGAACTAGTGTGCTAGAAATTTACTGACTTTTTACGATTTCGCAAAATCTTCAGTGACACGTACCAATTATATTAAAACTACTTTGGCCTATATACAGGTATGTTTTAAGATTAAAATGTCCAGGACCTGTTATAAGAAAATTGCACCATTTTCTATGGTAAATTTGAATTCATAGGATTGCTTTAAACAGAAAACCTGAATGTGCATCAACCAGTAATGAAACTAAACTTTTCATGAAATAAGTGGTACTTGAAAATCTGTTACAGGTACAGACTAACAGTCGATGGAGTTCAGGACACAACGGGCACTTTGGCACTGGCGACTGACGACGGCAACCATGTGATGCGTATTGGCAACTGTGCTGATAACTTTGTAGGAAAATTCACTGGTCACCTGCACACTGTAATGTATTACGATTACCGCATTGGCAATACAGACTTGGAGTATGTCTACAGAAATAGCCTTAGTGAGTATTTTATGCAACTAATCTATAATATGAGATTTCCCACACAGGCTTTTCTGCACTCCTTTTGAAGTACACTTTTTCGTTATATTGCAAACAAAACCTTTGCAGCGCCATTTCTTACCAAATCGAATATATAACTAAGGTGATTTCTGGTGGATCAGTTGTATAATCTGGTGAAATTTTAAAGGTTAAGATTCTGAATTTATATGTATGCAAAAGAGAAAAAAGATATTCCACGCACCTTGTACATGTGAGTGTCTGTAAATGATGATTGAAAATTTCATTAAATTAAAAAAATATCTAAATAGAAAAATTTTTTTTCATTATTATTATTTCAGATTCCCGAGAATATATCTGGATTGAAGAAACCTATTTTGGTGGAAATGGCCAGTATTACAAGAACTCCACTGAGGCATGGACTACTGTGCCAAATTGGTCACGGAAATTTAACAATTTTGGCAAATTTGATTTTTCTTTGTCTGTCTGGGTGCGAACAACTGATACTGGAGCCATTTTGAGAAGAACAGAGAGTTCAGGTAACTTTTTGCTTATTCAAAATCATGCCACATATTAGCATCTTGCTGTCTCACAACTTTCTTTCTGCTTAATTGAGATAATTAGAAAGTATTAAGATTTTTAAATAGTCTGTGCCCATGTATATTAGCCTGTTGTACTGGCCATATGAGCCTCCAGGGCCCAGTTTCACAAAAGTGCTATAGCCCAAAAGTGATCCAATCTTTAGACCAAAAATTCTGCCTGTTCAGTTTAAGATAAATCAATAGCTGTCTATTAAAAAAATTGTGCCAATTCACTGAACAATAGCAATGCATTTCCTGTTATAGATATTTATTTAAAATGTCCAAGATAATATCTCATTTAATTGGATTTCTTACTGATTTACCTTGGGTCGAAGTCCATTCAAATTTTACTAACCCCTGAGATAAATAAGCAACAACTCTTGAACTGGTTTTCTTTTTCTTGCTCATTATTATTATTATTATTATTATTATTTACTTAACCAGAGTGTTAAATGCATATATACCAGTCAATGCCTCAAATAGTTTAATAGATAATTCAGAAGAATTCCTGGGAAAGGGGATACTGTCTGGGCAGGGGATTGTCTTGGAAGGAAATTGTCCTAGGGGGAATTGTCCAGGGAGAATTGTCCTACAATCAAAAAGTGTGAACTTTTTGACACAATTTTACAGGTGGCACTGCTTCAATTTTTCTGGCTTTTATTATGGGGTCAGTGTTAATGTGACAGACCACATGTTTATAATTATATTTAATGTGCACAGATATATTTGAAATATAAATAGATTTAAATATTAGTTAAACATTAATTTTCAGGCACATGGGTGTCGCATGGAAAAGTATTATACATCAACTCTGCTGGAAAAGCTATGTTTGATGCCTATAGTGTAGGAAATGTTGGTAAGTATGAAGAAGAATGCCAGAATATTTTATTCAAAACTCTACCAATGAAAGGAGTCAATGCAATGTTTTCATCGGCAAAAGTTTTTTTCATGGGCACCTTATAAGTGGATTAGACATTTAGATTTGTTAACATGAATGCCCAAATTAACGACTTGGACTTGAGCCACAAATAACGTACTGGAAGAATTTTAGTCAGTTTGTCCTTTTAATTATGTGGTGGGAGGTGAGTGGGAGTCAGTAAGTCAGTTTTTATATAGACTCGAGTGATATCTTTTAATAAACAGGGCTGAGTCAATGAAAACCTATGTCTAAAATTTTCAACTTGAGATATTTTAGCATAATTTATAAATGTTTAAATACAAAAAAGACTCAAACTGGGTATAATATTCTTCTATGTTTAATTATTAACTCAGTTGTTTTAATTCTATGGTGTTTTTATTATTTGAAATCCAGTGTCAACAAGCGTTGTCAATGACGACCAGTGGCATTTCATTGTGTTTACCCAGGAGATGCAGGCCACAGCCACGTAAGAACGCCTCATTTTATTCACATACTTACATAAGAATATAACATTCTCAAATGATGTGAAATCCTCAACAACAGACTGTCTACCTTCTAAAGCTGTGTACAATATAGCCTCCAACAGTGTCAAGTCGTAGTGCAATTAAAAGGTACAATAACTTACAGGAAGTAAAACCAAGGCTGTGTTCAATGCAGTTTCAAAATCATTAATTGTGTATCACTACAGGAAATAAAATATCTTGCACGCACATCCTTCCTGTATATAGCTCTGTACGTCAATCCTCTTCCATCCAGTTGCCCTTTGTTAAGTTTTCTGAACCTCCACTTTAAAGGGATAATAACTCTTCATTTTGGCTAAAAAAATGAATTTTCCTAGAGTAAACAATAATTTTCCCATACTTGCCAATGGTTAATGAATCTATTTTTACATTCAAAGTTAGTCCCTGGTTTTTTTCTAAAAAGTTTGGTTTTTTGTTAAAATCTCTTAAGAGATTATAACAGAGTATAGCCGTCAATGGAGGTCACGTGGTCTGAAGACAAGCTCAGATATCAGAATAATAGCTATAACTGCCATTTTTGTGGTAAAACAGAATATATTATATTTCTATGAGTTGTTCTCAATGTTTTTATTGTGAAATATAGAGCTCATACAAAGAGTTATTATCCCTTTAATTGGACAATACAGAAGAACTGTCAATAAAGTACTGGTAATCTTAAAATTGACATACCGGGTACATGTACACTGTGAAAGACAAATAAAGTGTTAGACTGGATTCCCCTGCCTAGATCGATCCATCTGGATCAAACTAACTCCCTGGGGAGTCTCACTAAATTGTTGTCAACTAACTGGCTTAATGTCTGTCACGCCTACCGAATCAGCTAGGGGGTAAAGATAATTAACCCCTAACAGCTTAAATTACTGATGTACGTGACAGACATTTAAGCAGGTCAAGTTGACAGCAATTTAGTGAGACTCCCCAGGGAGATAGATCGATCCAAATATCTGTGGGAATGGTCCCTTAGTTACAGATTTATCATATGTATGTTTCATAAGCAAAAATGGACCAGCTTTATTTTTATTTTTGGTGTTTTGAGAATAAAGATGCTGGCAGTGTATAGATCTGCCATGAGGATCTTAAAAAGATGTTAGGGAGGATGTTAGAAAATATTTTAAATTACTAATTAGCTTTGGGTGGCTAAAAATGTTAGCTTGGTGAGAGGGTGGCTGCCCCCTAGTGTGATCTGTGACATAAGTTATATCCAATTTTTATAGGTGGAGGATATATGTTGATGGAGTTTTGGAGGCTTCACAGCAATCCATGGCCATGACTGAGGACTTGGGTGACCATGTCATCTTTATTGCCAACACCTTTCAAGGATATCTCAAGGAACTATTTTATTACAACTACAAGATATCTGATGAAGAAATCCTGTCTCGATACAATGGGTTTCAAGGTATATTCAAATATTGCATTGTGTATGTTTTGGAGGGTGGGGGTGTTCCATCTTGTCCTTTTGCTGAAATTAATTCACCAACCAAAGTTGAAGGTTTATTCAATCTGGAAGAAAATGTGGAGATATGTAAACAATAAAACTGCAGATTAATCATGTAATAATTACTTTTTTACTTGATTTTTGCCATTTATTTAATTGAGCCTACCCCCCTTGATTTTAATTTATTTGCTTTAGAAGTGCCACGTACTCTTGTGTTTTAGATGATACCTACTTGAACTTCTGTTCCATGTTTTAGATGACACCCAGTGTCCCACTGGTTGGCACCCATTCCAAGGCAGCTGCTACTACTTTGAAGAAGCAAACTCCATTGGTTATGATGGCATCCAGGCCAAAGATTTCTGTCATAGTCTGGGGGCAAAGCGTGCCAGCATCAGCAGTCAGTTGGAGCAAGACTTCCTTTACCATGTGCTGCAGGTAGCTAAGACAGTCATCATGAGCAGTAATCCTTTTGGCTACCATAAAGTGTTGCACTATGAGCATTGTAGACTTTATACAACAAGACAAAAAAAAAAAGAAAGAAAGTAAAAGATGAATTTCCAGGAAATTTTAATAGTTTCAGTTATCACCAAGTTATACATCCCATGGAAAAAAATACAGATGGAATCTTTAATCTTATATTTTGGAGTACTTATTTCAATTGATGTTTTATCTATTATGAGTAAAATTATATATTTTCTTTTTAATTTTAAGCATTTTCATGGTTCTAATTTCAGAAAATGAATTACACAGGACGTGATTGGTGGTTGGGACTTCAACAGGAAGATAGCAGCNGCTTCAAAACGGATGCTGCTGATTACTAATGGTCTCCCCGCCTCCACCCGCGCCGTCGCTGCAATTCATATTTTGAAAAGGAATTTCACCACATTTGCAGAGACGGAGCAATTGAAAAAATTTTTATCATCATTACTTTAGAGAAATTTTGGATGATCGTTGCATGACATAATTTTTTATATTTCCTGGTTATATTTTTCTTATTAGAATATATAGTGTCCTCTGGTTCATTGCAGAAAGGACACGGACGGTTTTCTGACCTTGGGGTAATATCCTTTTTCATGGGGTATTTTAAACATTCTTTACATGCTTGCTTTATCAGAGGCAGCGGTCTGGCCATTTAAACGTTATCGTATCATTTTATGTTGTTAAGATACCTATAAATAAATGTAGGAAAAGCCTACCCTGCCGTACTCCGGTAAGAACATCACGTTTTATTGACCTAGTGTCTCAAGTGCGGCAATGGAGCAAAGAGATGGATGTCATTCTTTTGTTCCCTTCAACGATGTAAGACCGTGTTTTGGGACTGGAGTTGTGCGAGAGGATCGGACTATCGATTATAATAATACATTTATAATAATAATACATTTATTTTAAGGCTAAACACCATATGAATATGTACGTTAGACTTTACAAATATGTACATACATATAACAAGTAGGCCTATACAACTGGTCAAAACACGCTGTGTACACAATCTCACCTCCCTGGGGAGGGAAATAAATATGGATTTCTCAGTGAGAAGGGTAGTAGTCTCTATTTGATCATCCGGGGCTCCGCAGTGACTCCGCTTACTCATAAACACATAAACGAATACCGCTATGTGGGTCCATGTTTTGGAGTTCTAAATATCCTTTTTTTTGCAAAAAACCATGCTTGACTTGCATAGACAGGGATGTGCACTATTCAACAACAAGGTGTGAAATCGCCCCCCCCCCTCCCCCCACCACCACCACCAAATACAAAGGGCATGTCTGGCGAGGAATGCGTTCCCGTTGATTACTTGAAATCCCAGAGCTATTTTATTACTTTTTTGTTCCAAAGTACGTGATTACTATCACTAAAATATCAGTAAATACTTCTCCTTGGAACCATAAATAACCGTTTTGATAGTAAAGATAAATTGTTCATTTATTCCTTTAATTTGCACAATGAAATAACATGCAGCATTTTTTGCCACATTTAAAGAATCTAAATTTAGACATTACTTAAAATGGTCCTTAAAACTACAAACCATCAGTTAAAGCAAGTTGGTAAAAGTTACCCTAGGTTCTAGATTCCGGTATTGCCAGCTCGATCTTGATTTCATATATAACCCATAGTAGCAATACCAGACTCTAGCGAACAGTGGCAACTCGGGGGCGTTCTTCTTCAAAATTCTGCCTGGGGCGCTTCCNAAGTCACACGTCACAGCTGTGTCCGTCTGGATCCATATTTGGAAGTCATAAGTCTCGTACGTCACAGGTTTGGCCGCCTGGAGCTGCCTTTCCCGCCTTGCGCTGAAGTCTCCTGCAGGCGAGACAAGAAGCAATTGAAGTGCCTGACGCGGAGTTAGAAGTTTGAAATGAAAATATCTTGCAGTCGAAGATCAGTGCCACAATACAAGCAACATTCTGCTGTAAAAACTTATTTTCGTGTAGCCATTGCGCAGCCCTTATAGTGGTATCGGGCATACAGTGTAGCTGTCAAATTTGGCACACGGCAAGCACATGTATTGTGCACGTGTATATCTCAGGACTAAATGTTCTTTGATAAGCAAAAAATACAAAAACATTGGATATATCTTTTCTTTCCGAAGAATATTATTTATTTTTTCACTTTACATCTTAAATACAGCAAATAAAATTAAATAAAGCAGAATTAAATTTGTTTTACGTTTTATTTTGGTCTGATGACATTCAACTGCATTTTCACTGCGGAGCAGTTCTGTTTGATTGATGGAAAACTTGCATGGCCGCTGGTCTTCAGAGTTAGTAAAAGCGACTCCACCACAAGGTATATTTAGCAAGCTAGCTTTTACGTTGTTCTGACGCTCAGGGTAGTAAAAGTAAAATCATTAAACAAAAAGTTAAATTAGTTCGGCAGTTATACAGGTCTAAGTGCAGGGATTCGATAGTTCTCTTTCCTTTTTCCCAGCTCACCACGTTTCTATTTGGACATTTTAAGATCTTCATTGAAAACACTGACAATTCAATTCTTACAGTTAACATTATCGTTTTAAATTAGAATTGTTGCCAATTAATCTAATCGATATAATGTTCCTGCTATTTGTTCATTTTTTCGTCTTTTGTTTCACTCTGTTTGCTTGAACGTTTTCTGCCCGGCAAGCTATTGTTGAAAGTCAGCGACTAAGTTGCAGAAGAGATACATCTATTTCCAGTAATCCCCCGTGGTTTCAGGAACAAACAACCAATAGTAAATATATAACAATGAAGAATGGGAGAAAACTTGTTTAATAATCAGTTTTAAAAAGTTGCTATTCAAACTGCAAATGCAAAGGAAAATATTGAACTTTCAGTGAAAAGGAAAATAACGATCAAGTTTCATTATTTCTTTGTACCTAGGTATTTGCATTGATATAATTCTATTTGACTGATACTGAAATGGTATAAAATAGTTCACGAGCTGCTAAGTTTCAACATAAAGACCGAGAACCATAAACCTTGAGGACCAAAAACCGTGAATCATGACGGGATTATTTTGTCTCTCAATCTTGACCATTTTGGTTACCACGGGGCAAGGAACACCAAGTTTTTTACAGCGTCCCTCTAACTGCGATAAAGATGTACTCAGCACACACAACGTTTATAACAGACTCCAGTGTTACTTGAAATGCCTTGATGAGCCGGCATGCCTCTCCTTCAACTTTGAAGATGTGTCAGAGAACAAGACTCGAGTTTGCGAGTTGAATTCGAAGATAGTGGACAAAAGAGGAAACAATTTGAAAACAAAAAAGGGCTTTGCTTACTACGAAAAGGTAATTTTTAATATCTGCTACATAAAACATTATCTCCTAGTCGCAACAAACAGTATGATATTTCAGATAGCTAGTACATGTTTTGCTTTTATGAATTTATGATGAAATGAAGTAGTGTTCTTAGAAAGTTTTCTTTATTTTATTTTCAGACGAGTGGGTTTGATAATGGTATCCAAAGCTGTACACTAAATGAAACAAGTAAGTCACTTTAATTATGACCATGCTTTATAATGCTCCAACATAAAGGACATCTTTTTTATATACATATAGAGAGAAAACGGTATTCAAACGATCTTTTCAATCTCTCTTTGCGGCTGCTTATATCTAGTTGCTGTTAAAAAATTCCCGACATGCTATTTAACAGATGACAGTTCTGATTCTGACATGGATAAATTTTAAGATCTTAATGTCTTTGTCTTAAAGTATACAATTGCACACATCCAAATACGATATAATATGATGCCATGTTATATAGCCCAAATAACGACCTGTTTCAATCTTACAGCATATGTATACACAGATATACATCTCCAGTCTAAGAACTTCCCGACATATTACTTTTCATACGACACCAGCGCTTCAGACAGAGCTAAAATCCTTCTGGACGACAGAAAGACTTTCCGAATCCTACGACCTGGATTGACGGGAGATGAAGGAACTGTTTCCATCGAGTCCAACGATAAACCGGGTCACTTCTTTCGGTACCGTGCAGACACCAACGCCGTAGATCTCTGGGGAACCGATCCAGAATCTTACAGTCCAGAAACTTTCTACGAGGACGCTACCTTCAAAATTCGATATGGCACCTGGTTTAACGGGTATTTGACGTTTGAGGCAACGTATAATCCAGGGAAATATATTTCTCACGGCAGCCACCTTTTGTCTGTGAGTTCTTTTCAAGATACTGATGTCTACAAAAACAGCGTTTCTTTTAAAATATGTAAGTATATTCTGATGACGCGTAAACAAAATTAAGCCCTAAATCTGTATTTTGTTTTCGTTATTTCGTTTTATCAGTAACAAACTGGCGCAATGTCGACATAGGTGCTGGCTTTAGCATCTTGAACATCTTTCCTATTCTTGCACAATTTGATGTTAGCCTCTAGGGAATTAAAGCAAGATTGAAGCAGATTGTGTTGGTGTACAGAGTGGTCTATCTTGGTAACTGTTTAATAAGGAACTGAAAAAATGATGATTTTGAAACTCGTATACATGTACATGCGTCAGAATAGACTGACGTAAAGGTTCATTTGAGTGAAAATGACAGGATTTGAAGAAAATGTTATATTTGGGTGTACATGGAGGGTCTGAAGTTGCTTGCTTTGACTTCTATCCATGCTTTAAGATAAATCCGTGTTTTAAGATGTTTTTTTATCTATTTTTTATTTTATTTTATTTTATTTTATTCATTTATTTTGACAGTTCCAGCTCCAACCTATCTTCAGAAGGGTGTGAAAATTCAGTCCTATAACTTTCAGTCTTACTTCATGACCTACGACAGCAATACCAATTACTGCCACATTATCAACGGTGACGCCAAAACCTTCAACATTTGGAGTCCCGGTCTAACCGGAGTGGCGGGAACGATGTCCATCGAATCTGTTGACAAACCTCATTGGTTCTTTCGGTACAAGATCTCTAACTCGGCCTATACCAATCTTGAATACCGTCCAGCGCCAGCACAAGGCAGTTTGCATTTTGATGAGGAGGCGACCTTTATCATCAGGCAGGATATTCTACACACCGGATGGTTTGCCCTGGAAGCTTCTACGATGCCCACCTACTACCTTCGCCATATAAATTATCGTATATACCTACACCAACATATTCAAACTAGTCCTGATGCTGCCTTCCGTTTTGTTTAGCCACGGCTGTGTTTCAAAACTATAGCTTTACGTTCTGAGACAAGAGCCCAACATTGCAGTTAACTGTTACGTTAAGAGATCGTAAAAGCTCTATATACATTTTACAAGAAGGTAATGAATGAACGGGCCCATCCGGAAAGAGATTTAAGGTGATCTTTTAAAGGAAACCGACTCTTTCCCTGCTCGT